CACGTGTACTGTGTACACACAGAAGTTCTTCGTGTTGTGTAGTGTGTGTACAACATTCTGTACAATGTACATGTGTACTTGCAGGTTCTCCGTGTAGTGTGTGTACAACATCCTGTAATATGTACATGTGTGCTGTGTACACACAGGTTCCTTGTGTAGTGTGTGCAACATCCTGTACAATCTACACATGTACTCACAGCTCCTTCGTGTTATGTGTACAACATTATAATGTGTATGTATATAATTAGATATCAACGCGGCATTTGCATTCGTGTACTACAATAGATTTCCGAACTCATCTGTCCTCGTATATCATTTTTTTCAGTTCACTATTATGGTATAATCTTAATGATTGATGTTATCTCGATGATGATAATCTCCTTCAATTGGATCTTTAACAAAATTTTGTTCGCTGTACTCACTCATAAAATTCGATGGCAAAATTTCATAGTTTATATGGGTAGAATTAATGACCATTAATATTTTCAAGAAGTCGATCAATTGTTTAAATGTCGTCGGTAGGTCATAAGTCACTTTTCGATTCACAATCTGAATAAATAAATAAACTTTTTAATGTACGATTTGTTTTGAATTGGTAGCGGTGTTACCGTTAATGATATTTATGTTGTTACAAGTTAAGTACACTGTAAATATTATTCTAACTAACTTAAGGATGAAGTAGCAATTTCATTGACGTCAACCTCCCAATTCTTTCCCTCTCTTTAGTAATAAAAGTGACTGTGATTTTGTTGTTTTACTTTGCCTTAACCTCCATATTCCTTCATTTAATCTCCGATTGAAAATATGAAGTAATTCTTAAGAAAGAATACTTCCTTTCTGCATTCCTCGAGGAGCGTTCAGGAGCTAAAATGAAAGAAGGATTAACAGCCATTTCCACTCGTTAACTTTGACGGTTTCGAGCCCGTAGTGCAAGATATTTTTTTTTTCATTTCGATCTATTAGGATTCTTAACGGTTTTTGACTTTCATTCGTATCGAGCTTTTAATTTCAAATGATATATAAAAAATTATTTTTCTATTCCGTTTTCCGGAATTCATTCAGAAACTCGCAAACGCAATAAAAACTATGTCATGTGACGCTGAGTGTCGTACTTCATCAATCTAGTGAATTAATTATCAAGAAAATTTGAAAATAAGGTTTATGATTCGTAATTCAAAGTTTTATTGTTGAAAATTCACTTTTTAACTCACAAATAACTTGTCAATACCAATGACAGATTATTGAAATCATCTGTGTTGTACGTTTGTCAGTCACGCGCCTATGGACTTACGGCAGCGCTTGTCCCGCAAACGAGCGCGAGCAATCAAGAGAGATGGGTTACGAGGTCGTTGCTGTGTCTGTAGTAACTGCCTTTTGGGCAGTTGTTGCTATTGTATTGCCAATTATATTTGGTAGGGGACCAAATAAAGGGTGAGTAACTTTCTAATTACTGAATGTCTGATATTTGTGCGAGTTTAGATATAGGAACATTTTTCATATTACATCGTAATCATTTAATGTAGCATATCGATGACCTGACTTTCTACGAAGCTACTTATACCTAGTCTAGCGTGATCAAATTTTAATAAGGATTCTTTCACCAATTATGAAAGATGGAATAATAAGTTTATCCTCTTTTGCAGGGTGATCCAGGCTACACTTGTCATATCAGGCTTCAGTTGCTGGTTGTTGTAAGTAATATCGACGTTATTCCTTGAGGCTTGATCCTTATACTGTCACTTTGCCTTCTCTTTAACTCTACTTTTGTTGTTTCTTTGTCTGCTACAAATCTTATAGGTAATCAACATTTAACACACTTCTACTTGTACAATCAATCTTAAATTTTGCACACGTGCGTAAAGTTATAGACATTGATATTAGATGGCAGAATTTACTTGTTTACCAGAGAATTCAGAACTTTTCACCAGAGAATTCAGAGAACTTTTCTTCAGATGACAGATTAAAAGGCAACTTTCAGGAAGTAATTCTTATTAATTAACTATGTTTTTATAAATTCTGCCCAATATTCCAGATTGGGCTAGGCAGGGAATTTATCTACCTTTTAATTAATATAGCAGAGTAAATCTAGGAGTAATTCATCTAGCAGAAATCTAGTGGATCTAAAAATTGCAGGGAAGCTGGAGTTGCCTATTGCCTATAATGCGGTCAAAAATAGGTAATTTTTCTAATTTTCTGCTCAATAAATTGAGAAAAAAGTCATAGGAATGACTTTGTCTGCAGAGCAGAGGCAATAGCAAAAGCCCATTTTAAAAGTTTGGCTAATTAAAGATTAATGTCAATTGATTTTAGACTCAAAATTGTTATTAAACGCTGTCGCCTGTCAGCGCTCGTTCTCCTAATTTTTTAACTAGATTTGATGAAAGAATTAAATTCCGTATTTTTAATTCCTTAACACAAACCGAATGAGTGAAGTTGGCCAGATTCATGGGCATTTTTCTCCAATTCACAGGTGGCTTTTACCCAATTCTCCAGTTGGGTTAATTTGTTGCTCAGAAAGTATATTTATTTGACAATTTGTAGTCTGTTGCAAAGTCACATTTCAGTTTTCAGCAAAAACATTTCAGTTTTATTGACAAATTTGATATAAAATGATTCATTAAACATTAATCTTTCAGCTTAAAAAATATTTGGAGAGCTCTGGTCATAGCTCAAATGAGTAGATAATTTCAACACCTGCTTTGGAACTGCTGAATTTTAAATAAAAACTTAAATATCATTGGATTTTATAGAGCTGTATTAATTTTAAAACTTTATCATATACCTACAGAGTACAGAGATATCATCTATACATAGCTAATATTTAACATCAGATTTTATAACATTGTATGGCCAGATCAATTGCAGGAACCAGCATGGAGGATTGAATATTTGTATCTTTCAAAAGTATTACAGCAATTCCTTGATTAACGCGGTTAACACGTTCCCCGCGTATCCAGATTTCCCCAGTATTCCCTCATTGCAGAAGGCTTTCAGTGGTTGCTGCTTCAGTTAGGCGCCATTTGCCGTGACGTGAGGAGGTGTGTGCTGCTCTGTGGCATCATAGCTTTGCATGGCTGCAATAAAAATGTTGGGACACATGTGGTACATTACGCAAGCAAATAATAACCACATGTTGTTCTTGCGTATTGTACCACCGGTGTACCAAGTATTTATTGAGCCATATATGTACCATAATAGAATAGAAGGGTACAGAAGGGAATAGAAGGAAATATAAGGGAATAGGAGGGAACAGAAGGGAATGGAAGGGAATAGAAAGGAATAGAAAGGAATGGAAGGGAATAGAAGGGAATAGAAAGGAATAGAAGGGTATAGAAGGGAATTGCAGGGAATAGAAGGGAATAGCAGGGAATAGAAGGGAACAGAAGGGAATAGAAGGGAAAAGAAGGGAATAGATGGGAATAAAAGAGAATAAAATGGAATAAAAGTGAATAGAAGGAAATTGAAGGGAATATTAGGGAATTGATGGGAATAGAAGGGAATTATTAGTTAGAATTTTTACAGTTACTTACTTATTACTTACTATTACTTATATTACTATTACTTAGTTACTTATCGTTACGAATAAAATTTTGGTCCATTGATTTGTTTTACTTAATAATCCACTTTTTGAGTGAACATTAATATTATAAAAGAGAAAGTTTAAGTGCGAAATTTCGAGTTATATGTGTTTTTTTCAAAACGGCATATAATACTGCGTTTGGTACACTGGTGTCCCAATACGCAGCAGTGGAATATCACTGTTGGTACACATATGGCCCAATACGCGGGGAACGTGGTAATAAATCCCCAAGTTTTACCGTGTTAAGCAAAACTGCGCTAATCAAACTTAAGAATATATGGGAATAATTATAATGAATCCTCAAAAATAGCAAAGTT